GTAACATTAACAAAGTCTATTAAATTTGCTTTAAACTGTCTAAAAAGTAAGTATGCTAAATAGTTTCTGTTTATAAAATAAATAACATTAACAACATTACAGCAACTAGCTAGGCATAAAGATTTATTTATTTAGTAACATAATACACGTTGGTCTTCTTGGGAAGAATGCTTTCACAGCTATGGGACGTTAGTTAAAATAATAATAACAGTAGTTTGGTGTAGATGATGAAATGCATGATGTTGAGTTCTGGGTTCTTGGGTTTTTGTTCCTGTTTTTCATGCTCACAGTACCCCCATTGTTTCTTTGAGTTCCTTTTTCGTGTCTGTGTTGGTGTCTTTGTTTTGTGTTCCCACTGTTTCTGTCACCTTGTTTAGTGTTTGTCTTCATATCTCGGCGTTTTTTTCGTTTTACTCTTCTACTTGGAAGGTTAGTCTTCTGTATCCAGTTTTACTTTCTATTTTTTTCCCCTCATTGTTTTTACCTGTTGCTGACTGGTGCACCTCTCCCCTCTTCCTAGCTGTGTGCCATCATGTAATCAGTTCCCAGTGTATGTATACTCCGACCTTTCTGTTTGTCATGGCATCTGTTTTCTTACCTTCTTGTGTTCCCATGGTGTTACATGTTTTTTCATCCTCCTTGTGTTCCTGTTTGGTCTTTTTTGTATTTTGTACAATTTTTCAGCAGCCAAATAAACTGCTCACTTTCAGTTACTTCTCCTGCCTTCGACTTCTGCCTCTCGGTGCTCTCCACTCCAAGCCGTGACAAAATTTCAGTTTTACATTTTATGTTTCCCTAAAAACAAATCAAGGCTGTGTTAAATTCCTTTTTGTATCTGTTTTTTGTCATCTTTCTTAATTTCTTGTGAACTTTTATTTCAGTTGTCCATTGTATTTTGTCCATTTTTTGTCATTTCATTAGCTTTTCGTTGCATCAGCCTCCACAGTTTGTGTTTAAAAGTAAAGACTCTACTGAAAGCAGTTTATGGTGTGTGTTGTTCCAACATTACAAATATATTTTTTTAAGATGGTAAGATGTGGTCAATCAAATTGGCAGGTCAGTAGTTTAATCAAATGTGTGTCTACAGGTCCAGCGCAATTAATGTTGTAAAAATCCTGAGAGTTCTGCGCGTGCTTAGACCACTGAGGGCCATCAACAGAGCCAAAGGACTAAAGGTTGACATAGTCACGCATAAAAAATACACACAATGAACACTTATCTGTCCTCTAAAAAAAGGCATAGACTTATCACTCACTCCTATATTTGGTGGGTTTTTTGCAGCATGTAGTGCAGTGCGTGTTTGTGGCCATCAGGACTATTGGCAACATCGTCATCGTCACCACGTTACTCCAGTTCATGTTCGCCTGTATTGGAGTGCAACTCTTTAAGGTAAAAAAAAAAAAGGGAATATGATCAGTTAGTTAATGTACTTTTTGAACCCTTTTTTAAAATTCTGACTAAGAAATTGTCTCGTGTTTCAATCAGGGCAAGTTCTTCTACTGTACCGACAACTCTAAGCAGACTCAGGCAGAGTGCAGGTAAGAGATCCCCCCTGCAGACGGCATCTTAATCTTTTTTCTTACAGTCTAACGACATTATGTGTGTGTATGTCTGTTTGCGTCCACAGAGGTTCTTTCATCACATATAAAGACGGGGATGTGGGAAAGCCTGACAAAGCCCCAAGAGTGTGGGAGAACAGTGACTTTAACTTTGATGATGTTCTACAAGGCATGATGGCACTGTTTGCCGTGTCTACCTTCGAGGGATGGCCAGGGTGTGTGTCTATATAACAACACAGTGCAGATGTTTTTTTATGTATATATATTACGATCCCTTTTTTTATGACCTCTGCCAATTTTGTGGTTTAAGTGAGTGTGTGCATGCCATTGTGTCTGAATTCAGATAAAACTTTGTAAGAGTGTAGAGTGGGGTCATTCTTACAATCCACATCCAAGGTCAACTCAGTAATTTATTGGTCCAAAATTGACAATAAGCCTTATAGCTGTGGTAAGTGTGGTTTCTATTGTCAACATAGAGATAGTACCGTATAAAGATTTAAAATATTATGTCACATTTGACCCCTGACCTCTTTTTCAAAATTCTGATTGATCTGAAGGTCAAAGTGATAATAATGACATGTAGAGGGTTTTCAGACTGACTAAACTGACTGTTTAAATACATAACAATTTGAATACATGCACAGTGTTCAAATATAATAGTTTTCTTTTGAACTTTGTGAAACTTCTTACTAAACAATGGAATAAATGCAATTTGTTTTTTAAATTCCAGATTTCATTTTCCGTCTCTTTGTCAGGTTACTGTACCGAGCCATTGACTCTCATGCTGAGGATGTGGGGCCCATTTACAACTACCGCGTGGTCATTTCCATCTTCTTTATCATCTACATCATCATCATTGCCTTCTTCATGATGAACATTTTCGTCGGTTTCGTCATCGTCACATTCCAGGAACAAGGGGAGCAAGAATATAAGAACTGCGAGCTGGACAAAAACCAGGTAGTGTTCGTGTATATTTTGTGTAAAGTTACTACTCGATAAAATTATTAGTACTTTTGGAGCTTTTTTTTTTGTTTGTATAGTGATAACTTTCTGACTTTAAATCTCGTAGTACAGCAGAGAGATTTTTTTAAAGGTACAGAGGAGTGATTCTACTGTTCTGACAGGAGCGGGAAAGTCATTGTGTCATTTAGGAGCCACAAGGGAGAAGGAATAAGAGCCAGGCAATGGGGGTTTGACACGGATGAATCTGAAGAGGCTGAACATGAGTTTTAGGGGCAGAACCACTTCAGGAGCCCAGCCAGGAGGAGCTGCAGCAGTTCAAAAAAGATGAGACTAAACCTTACAAAAGGAACGAGGCCAAGGGCCTGCGGCTGTGTTCTCTGACATGATCCATGTTTCAGAAAAAGCATGTAAATGCAGACAGAGGATAGAAGAGTAGTCTAGCTTTTTTTAGCGTGCCAAAAGACTTTTCTACAGCTTTTCCTCCATGACTGTCTGGGAACAGGGCGACACACAGCTGAATACATCAGCAGACACATGTAAATGGCAAATGCTCACCTTTGTGTTTGTGTGTGTATGCCACAGCGTCAGTGCGTGGAGTACGCTCTAAAGGCTCGTCCGCTGCGTCGCTACATCCCCAAGAACCCTTACCAGTACAAGGTGTGGTATGTGGTCAACTCCACCTACTTTGAGTATTTGATGTTCACACTCATCCTTCTCAACACCATCTGTCTGGCCATGCAGGTGAGTAATGTGTGTGTACATTTAGAAAAAAAACTCCCATAGAGCTAACATTGCGTAATGAGTTTGTGTTTTTTTTCCCTGCAGCATCATGGACAGACCAAAAATTTCAATGATGCCATGAACATCCTCAACATGCTCTTCACGGGACTTTTCACTGTTGAGATGATCCTTAAACTGATCGCCTTCAAACCCAGGGTATGTTCACTACTCAAACAGCAGGCTAGAATAACAGTGATACCTGTGTAAGACTACAGACTAGAGAAATGTGAAAAAGCACAGACAAAGAGACATTTTATAATGTAATGTTAGATGAAATTAGATAAACTCACAGCTCTATCTATCAGTGCTCATTGCAGCCCGGAAGAAAAAGAGTTTAATAGTTTTTTTTTAAAGGCTTTTGAGTCACAGCGTTGCAGAAGACGGATTGTTGTGCTCTAAATTCATAATTCTTTTTCATTTCCTTCCTTACGATACGATGGATTTAAACCTTGATTAGAGGAAAGCGTTTATGTGCTTAATCCCATTGTTCCCTTGTTATCCTGCTGTTGTTGCCGTGCCCAATCTAAGAACTTCCTGGTGCTTCAGCTATTTAAACAGTAACAGATGGGCATGCTCCCTCTTATTACCGCAGGGTTAGTGGAGAATCTTGAACGCAATCAACAGCAATAACATAGTTTCATATTATACTTTACTCCTTTGACTACTGTTGCATTGTACTAATCAAAAGAACAAAGGTTTTCCAGTTATTACAAAAGTTAATTGAGCTCATTAATGAAGACCATCTACTATTTTGCACACAATGTTTTCCAACCACTAATTAAATTACAAGTCTTCTGTTGTTTTGTTTTGTTGTTTCTTCCAATAATCCTCTGCAAAGTTTGTGCTTTTTATTTAAATAGTTGCAAGATGGTTATCTTGTAATGACTTTTGAAATGCTACGGTTAGAACATTTTGTCTGAGTAACATAATGCATGCTCTGCAGTATTTTAGCCAACAGTGGATTTTGGAACAATGAATTTTAGGACTTGGGAATTTACATCGTGCTGTGCTGTGTTGTGTATGTGAGGAAGATGAACTGCCAGATCATGAAGGCAGTGTTTCTCTTTGTAAAAAACATCAAAGTATCACCAGTTAAGTTGTGACTCTTTACGTATAAAATACTGACGAACTGATACTTGTTTTGCATCTTTCTTTCTTGTGTTTATTGTGGTGCAGCATGACAGCAGATTCCCAAGCCACAATGAACAGTGCTTAGGACATATGGTGTTGTGTATGCTTTTCCTTGCCTTGATAAACTTTTGCCTTAAACAGCCATCGCACAGGACGGAGGAGCTCACTAATGCTTTTGCTTCTCAGGTCTCACAGACGCAAGGAATTCGCTCCAGTAATGTTTGCCTCATTCTATTTAACCTCAATACTTTTTGATAGGTTGATCAATGGATGGGCAACAGTAACACTAACAAAGACTTTTACATGTTTTTACAGTTTTTCCCACTCTTTATATATTTTTGAGTCTTTAATGAATCACATAATCGAATTATTTATTTAGACAATGCTTATTTTGTCTAATCTCTCTATTTAATCAATTCATAAATGAGTATTTGGGAACTAATGCCAAACCCCCGTTTGACTAATATTTAACTCTCAGTTCTCATTATTATTCCTAAAACTGAAAGCAACTTCATTAAAACCACTGTTGCCAAGGATACCTTCTAATATCTGCACTGTGCAGACGAATTATGGCAGGAGGAGTTTTTCCCCCCCTTTTTTTCACGTTATCTCAGCTGCTGATGACAGATGAAGAAGCTTAAAATAGATCAGCAAGATTGATCTCCATTCCCCGTCAGTGTGTGTAGCCACCAATTTAGCAATTGGTGCAAACAGTTGCGTGATATTTGTCATGCATACCTTACGACTTAATGTTTTTGTTGAAAATATTGTAGCTAGTCGCTAGTTCCATTCCTGTAAAATATGCAAAACTATGACCAAGAACGATAAAAGTCAAAGTGGTCCAGATGTGTTTAAAAAAAAAGAATAATCACAGTGACGTATTAGACGACAGTGTATGCAGACGAAACTCCAAGGTTCATTAATGTTCAAAGACGCAGCTCTTTGTAATTACACTATAAAAATAAATGTGAATAATACCATTCTGGCCTGAAGATATATAGATGTATTTTTGCATAAATACTGCCTTTGTACCAATGCTGATAAAGAATTGCCCACAATAAGTTAAGTAAACAAAGTCGGCTTTCAGTGTAATCACTGCCACAGCTTTGCTGAATAGCCCCGAGATGCACGTGGAAGATGTAAATAACCATTTAACCCACCATCCTTCGCAGAGCAGGAAATTCAGCTGCACTCGATGAACAGATAGCTCAGTGGAAACTTCTTATCCTTTCATGTGTTGGTTCATCAAGTGTAGCTGATTTTCTTTCTGTTTCCTCAATGTACTGTACAACCTCATACCACCTTGATAGGGGCTGCGAAGTGGCAGCAGATGTTGTTTTCCTTCTAACCTACCTTTCTTACCCTCCTCCTCCTCTTGCTCACCTCATCCTGTGTAGGGGTACTTTAGTGATCCCTGGAATGTGTTTGATTTCCTCATCGTAATTGGCAGCATAATAGACGTCATTCTCAGTGAAATCAACGTAAGTACGACGTCCCCCCCCTTCCCACTTCACTCTCCTTGTCTCTCCCTCTCTGTCTCATGTCCTCTCACTCTGTCTTACCTTCTTCTGCTCTCCTTTCCTTTGTGGTTACTCTCTGTCATGCTGTCATTTCTCTTCATCTATCTTCTTTGTCAGCCTCCTCCTTCTCTTCTTCCTCCTCCTTCTCTTCCTTTCATTCTTAAAACCAAGATGGCCGCTGCCACGCACGGGACCCCCACTCCCCCCACCCACAGCCACAGAGGTTCCTGAGCGAGAACAAGCTTCTTCCTGGGTTTCACAAAAAGTCGAGGAAACAGAGGCAGGGTTTAGCTTTGAGCACAAAGGTTTCTGTCTTGCGTCCTCTTTCCTAACTCTTCACAGTATCTAAAATGTTGTTGGGTTTTTTTGGTTTCTTTTCTTTTGTTTTTTTGGCCACACTGTGACACTCAGGTTTGATCCCCCTGACTAACTGAACTAACTCACTGACCAATCACAAACAGCCTTACGCAGCTTTTTTTTCATTTTTTTTAGTTGTGATTTTGTTGCATATTGTTCCTTACTGTTCCTGTTCCTGTTGACATTTCCTCTCATAGACAAGCATGACCGATCGCTGCTGCTCTACCTGTGCTGTCTATCTTCTTCAGACTGCCCCCTCTTTTCTTTTTTAGCCTTTTTTAAATTTTGTTGTTTCTTTCCCTTTCTACTCCTACTAAAAACTCCAGTGCTCATGTATGTAATGGTTTTTATCTTATTTTTTCTCCTCTCTCCTTTAATTTCCGTTCTTTCCATTTTTTTAAATGTCTTATGTTTTGTCCTTTTCTTCTGTTGTTTTCCTTTTCTGTCCATCCCTACACAGCATTATTTTGTTGATGCATGGAACACATTTGATGCCTTGATAGTTGTGGGTAGCATTGTTGACATAGCGATCACTGAGGTTAACGTAAGTAGTCCAAACTCCCTCCCTCCCTTCCTGCCTGCCTGCTCTGCCATTCCCACACACACAAACAGACCGAGCGCTGATACCCATCTCGCATGCTTTCAAATGATTAGGAAAACTGCAGCTGCACAATATTTTAACCTAAGAGATGGCTGAGTAAGTCTGGCAGATAAAACAGCCATATGGGGCCCAATCAAACTGGAAACTACTGGCTTCTGAAGGGTTTTTGTAGTTTTTGAGCTTTGTTTTGTTCCCATATCTGATTATCTTTGGACGTGGTAAGGTATCGCGTCCTTTAATTTTGTTTTGGTTTTTTTTCTTTTTGTGTAAGAAAATGCCTCCTTCCCAAGCAATCCTAATCACTTTTTTACTATTAGAAGCAGTGTGAAAATGCCAAATTTTCAGTGCGGCTTTTAACATTTGAAGCTGCTTGAGATATGTTTTCACGCCTCGGTCTGCTTAGTATCAGTAGCATCAGAGACTATTGCATTTGTCAATAGAACCGATTGCATTTCCTCAGCACTTGGTTTGATTACACATTGGTTTTATTTGGTCTTTCATCACTGCCTTAGGGGATACATTCCCCTGGCATGATGGACACTGTATAGCATGACAGATACAACAGTGGTATATCCAGGCCTGTTACTGTATCCAATTTATCTTATACAGAAATTATATTCTGAATGAAGGAACGAATGCAGATTCTCATATTATAACAACAGTGTTTTGAGGGTATGAAGAAAAGCGCTCTGAGTTTATATATAGCGAGAAACATACACGAGTTGCATTTTCCTTTGTCCAACAGTAGCAATGTGGAGACACGGGGAACAATTTGATCCATAAATGGATTTACTCGGGACCCATGAAATTTATGTAAATGTATGTATGAATTCATTTATCATCGACGTGGAGGCCCTATGGTCAGTGGTGGGGCTGAATAAGAATGAATATCCCAAACACAAGTCAAATGTTGAGTGTCTATTGTATTTACACTTCAGGGACAGTTAGTGTTTAATTCATGTGGTACTGAAAGTGTTCTTTGGCAGGAGTAGAGTTTAAGAACTGCACAATCCTTTTCATTTATCCTTGGAGGAAAGTGCATTTGTACTAATGATCGGCCTCACCGAAGACCTTAATGTTACTTCGACATTTCTTCTACCTGCCCATCATTAAAGTTGCTTTGATGGTTTCCCTTCGATCTGAAAAGCTTTGCATCTTTTGTAAAACAAAAAACAAAACAGGAGAACAAGTGTAATTCTCTATACACTTATGGTTAAAAAAAAAAAAGTTCACCCTCTGTCAATTCTAAAATACATCAAGACATTTTTTTTTTAAATTATCTAGTCCTTAACAATTCTTAAAATTAGGTCTTACTTATTTAACAAAAATTGAGCCAAAATCCAGAAGCAGTGTGCCAAACATTGAGGACTTTAACTGGGCCATTGCAACACCTGGATTCTTTTCTTTTTTTTAGCCTTTATGTTGTAGATTTGCTGCTGTGCCTCGGATCATTAACCTGTTACATGACCCAATTCAGCCAAACCTTAGCTGTCAGACCGATCGCCTCACGTTTGACCCTTGTATGCTTTGGTATACAAAGGAGTTGATGGTCTATCAAAACAAGCTCAAATCACTGTTGGAGTGGTTGGTATGAGGTGTTTGTGCTGTGATTGGTTTTCTCCAAATGTTGTGCTGTGCATTATGGCCAAACATCTCCACTTTGATTTCCACTCTTGGTCCAAAGGACATTATTCCAGAAGTCTTGTGGTTTGTTCAGATGCAATTTTGCAAACCTAAGCTGTAGTGGCATAGTTACACATTCTTTTTCTACTTGTACTGTCATGAACTTTATCACTTAATAACTAACTGAGGCCTGTAGAGCATGAGATGTAGCTTTTTCCAGGATTTTTTTTGCAGTGTCCCTTAGCATTGTATGGTTTGACTTAGAGATAAATTTCCTGCACATGGCTTCTGGATTTTGACTTATTTTTTCTTAAATTAATAACACAGTATAATATGTTTAGTTTTGTTGTTTATCTGAGGCTGTATTGAGAGCATTTTAAGACCTCCGAAGGACTAGATCAAGGACATAGCACCTTCAAGAATCAGTACTTTTACCCTAACTTAGAGAAGTAAGTGTTTAATATTAGTATAATGTTGATGGAGTTCTGACTACATGTTTGAGTCAAAGTTGAGGGTTAGCATAACTTGAAAAGGAAAATAAAGACACCAGGAGAGAAGAGCTGGCCCAGTTGTGGTGAAGGGTTAAAAAGAAAGTAGCCACCCATCTCTTTTGTTGATTTCAGTCACAAAACATAGTGGTGCTGGTGTTCTCTACAGTGATCTTGGAAAGAGCTAGGTGTAGCCAGTCTTTTTGGTAAACATAGCTTGGCTGTCCCTCAGCTAGAAAGAACAAGGTCCTTCAAAGTCAGTCATTAGTCTTCTAATCTAACATAATAAAGAGCACTAAAAGACTTTTATTTAGGAGGTCACAATAAATACAGCCTTTTTCTGTTTAAGATTGGGGATCCACATATTACCAGCTTAAAAATTCCAACTGGTTTGAAAACATGAAGCAGGAAGAGAGCATGCATAGATGTAGATCAGTACTTTATTTCATATGCAGCTTTTCCTCCTCAGATAGCACCGGTGAGGCATACAAATACAGTACAGTTACTGTATTCCAGGCATGTATGAGCTAAGCGCTTGTATTCATGCCATGAGGAAGGCATTTGTCCCCATGAGAGGCTGACAAAGCTGCTTATCGTTGCTTGGGTATGCTTAGATATGTTCTTTATTTCGTTTTTCTATTTAGTTATTAGAACAATTTGCTGTCAAGGGACTCAATAAAGGATCATAAAGTATCTTCAATAATGTATCTGATCTTGAAGCTCCTGTTTAGAAAGGCACAAATGTCAATTTAAATAAACAGGTTGAATAACCACCTTAAGACTGAGGTGTGTTGGGCCAGAGATATCCACTTTTGTCATCTATACAAGCCGCTGATGTTGCACTTAGCACTTTGGTTTGGAGATTGCCTTTGATTTGAGTGAGTTGGTTAATTGAGAGATTGATTGATTTGGTTAATTGGTTTGCAGTTCCTTCTGAATGATTCATCATATTGTTTTCTAACCTCTAACCTAAAGGCATGCCCCAAGTTTGTTTGTTTTTTTCCTCCTCTTCATTTCCTCCTCTGGTAGTTTTTAATAATTTGGGCGATGCGCTGCCCAAGCTACCTTTTCTGTCTTTATCTCCTGTAGTTTTTTTCTTTTCCGGTGTCTTTTTTTTAAGAAACCCTCCGCACTCTGAGAACTCTTGACCGTTTTTGAACTGGGGCCCTGTCACATAGACATTTAAAATCTTAGCCTGCGACTGCATCAGCCACGAAAGCACAAGTGAATGTATTTAACAGCCGCCATCTCCTTAGTCGCATCTCTCAAATGTACACGAGTGTACAGTGGAGTGCAGTAACAGGCTGGCGTTTAAAACCTTATCACTTTGCCTGTAGTAAATATTTAAAACATCCAATCTAAATGCACCCACTTCGCCGCTCCTTTGGGTGCCTGGTTGACTTAGATTAGCCACATATCTTCCGGTCATTAAAACCGAATATCCCCTTAATCCTGGATCTCTAATTCTCCCCAGAAACCTGCGGGTGCTTCTTAAACCTTGTATGGTTTCTTTTACGTTTTGGTTTTGGTTTGAGTAGCAGTAGTTTGAACAGATCAGTAGTGGTTTGCTCTGAGCGGTGTCTTGCGGACAATGCCAGTATGGACTGCATCTCTTTCTCTATCTTCGGAATGCCTCTTCTTCTCCTCTCCATCCTCCTCCTCCTTCTCTTTTTCTGAGCCTTTTCAATGCACTGAACTCTTCTTTTATGGATGTTTATCTCTCTCTTTTTCTCTGTCTTTTCTTTGACGTTTGATTGCGGTGCAGCTTGCTCACATAAAATGAAAGCTGGGTAACATGGGTCTCTCGTGTGTTTCATATGCCCTACGAGGTCCACAATTATCCGCTCTATATGTAAACATGTGTTTTAAAATATACATAAATATGACAAATGAAACAAAAATATGTTCGAGCTTCTGTAACGCAAATTAACGGGTAAGAATAATCCCATGATACACATGTTACCCATTAAACTGACTGAACTGATGAAATTTTTTGCTTGAAAAAATTGCCGTGCAATGTGAGTGAACAACTCGGATCCATTTTAAATGTGCTCACATCTGCACTGTAGTTCAGCCTATATATTGTGTATATATTATAATTTGACTGTTTGATTATTTTTTTTAGGACTAAATTTGTGTTTTGCTAAAAGTATATTTTATTTGAGGATCTTCCAGGGCCAAAAATTCAGTGTAGTATCAATATTTTACTTTTGATCTGTTTTAAAAGAAGATAAATGAAGATGGATTCTGTGTCAAAGCTTTGATTTCAATTTGAAATGAAAGCACATTGCAAACAATGGCCCTTAATCATAATCCTCAGAAAAACACTCAAACATGCCTTTAGTTTGTTACTTAGTCCACACTTAATATAAATCAGGTTATCTTCCTCCCCTATACCCTTCCGTCCTTCCTTCCTGCAGATCCTTCCTTTATCCCTCCCTCCTTCCTACAGTTGCCCTTTCTTCCAACCTTCCCTTCCCTCATCGCCCCCCCCGATTGCACCTCAGTTTTCTCATACGCTCACACAAACGCACATATAGTCATATTCTCTCTTCAGGCTTGCTATGCCTGATCTCCTTTTTTATGTGAAGAGATTATTACTTTTGTTTTTCTATTATTTACGTTTTCTATTTAGAGAAGTGGTGCATCGTAAAGACTTTTTACTCTGTGTACATCGTTAGTATGTGTGTGTGTTATCATAAAGGCGTGTAGATGGCCCTGTTGAAATCCCATAAAATCCCTCATTCCTTCCTTCCTTGTTTTCTTCCTCTTTTAATTTGTTTTCCAACTCTCTAAAATAATTTCCCTGCATGTCTTCCGTCCCTTCTTCTACTCTTCCTTTTCTTTCCCAATTTTCACCTTAATTTCCTTCCTATTGTGTCTCTTAAACACCCTCTTTCTCTCTTCCTTTAAACTCACTCGCTCAGACCTTTTTGATTTTGAAAACAAGGACAGGAAGTAATGATGCGTTTATTTTGTGAGGGGTATTTCAACACGGCCATTTCTAACGCAGAGTGACGCGCTTCCGAGTCATAGATTGAACTGTTAGTTAATCTATCACTCCCAGCAGTCTGAAATGTTGCAGTGCCGGGGAAAACCAGTGGGTGGCTCCCTACAGCACAAGGTTTGTGTGCTCGTTAGTACATGCAGACACACACAAGCTCTAATTTCCACAGTCTAGCATCGTCTTTGCAGTTAGTGGAACTTACAGAGTTTTATATGTTATCTTACCAGCATCTTAACTGTGGATGCTTCCTTCAAAGTAAAACTTCCAAAAAAAGCTTAATTTCACATGAATTGTGACTATTCTCTGGTGAAAGATGCACCTGATTAATGTAGGTAAATTTGGTTAAATGTAGATTCACTTAAATTATCCCCGATCATATACACATATAAGCTTTCGCACATAGACACACACTCTACGACAACTCTCACCCCCTGTGTTGCAGCTCCTGAGCGTTATTCATTTTTTTTGTCCCTCAAGGACAGAAATTTCCCACCATCTCTCATCACTACATGTTTCAGTCTTCTAGTATCTCTGATAAGAAGTGATTCAGCCTGATCTGGCCCTCGCAGAGGATAGGTCACTCTCTAGATGCAGTAATATCACACAAATATCTCCCTCTAATATCTGACTCTGATGAGATTATATTTATTCACCACCATATGAGTCTCGATCAGAGATTGAACTCTGTCGGTTTGTGATTTTTTTTTTTCGTTTTCAAAAAAACAAACAAACAAAACACACAGACACACACATAAACACACTTGCACCGTGACACAAACACACACACCAAGGCGCTACTCTGGTGCTGATGTTTGTTGCCTTTCCTTAAAGCCGGCTGACTCCTCCTCGTCCTCGTCCTCGTCCTCTTCGTCCTCCTCTTCCTCCTCTTCCTCCTCTCACCCCCCTGTGGTAAGGCCAATGGTACGCTCCGACGGTAACCTCGCCCGCCGCCCTACCTCCTCCACCATCCCTTCATCCCTCCATCATTCCATCCCTCCCTCTGCTATGCCATCCACGGTATGATCTTCTCGTCCACCCTGTCATCTCCCCCTCTGTTGCTCATGCTGTTAACTTCTGCAGCATGCCGAGATATATATCGCTGTTGTTTGTGCTTTTTTAAATGTTTATATATGTGTAGTCCTATATGGTGAAGGACACTGTACGTTATGCAGGCCTAGTATCAATGGAGTCTTGTGACTTTCCTTGGTGGCTGTCATTCTTGCCATGGCGCAAGCTGCCCCCACTTCCTCCCCATGGCTTGCAAGTTGCCCTCCGTATGGAAGTGGTATCTTTCGCGCTTCGTCATCAGTACGAGCCATCATGGTCACGCTGTCTCTCTTTTTCTCACTCTTCTCCACTGATCTATCTGTCTGTATCTGTCTCTTTGTCTGTATCTGTCTGTCTGTTTACGAATCAGTCTTGTGATTTGTCTCTGAATATTTCCAACAATTCCTTATCTTTAGTGTCTGTCTTTGGCTCTCTTTCTCTCTCTGTTACACTTACTGTCACTGTACTTCTTCTGCTCACTCCCCACCCCCACCCCCACTCTTTCAATGGTGCAATGGTGCCCACTGTGGTCCAATTGTGGTATTTACATGCAGTACAGAATTGTGATTTTCCACTCCTCAGAAGGATGTGCCACTTTTAGCATATCTGGCAGTGGAGTTTGGGATAATGCATGTTATCGGTTACTTGTCAACAAGCTTTTATCCCAGAATTACATAAAAATAGAAGTGACTAGTCATTTTTCCAAACTTTGATTTATTTGCAACACAAAGCAAGTGACTAGTGCAAATAATGAATGCAAATCAGATCAGTAATATGTTGAAAAGTAACGCACCGTGCAACATCTGTTATCCCAAACTGCAGCAGGATGTGTGGAGAATGGCAAGTTCTTTGTGGGAGCACACTGTGTGTTCTTTGTGGGATTAACATAAAGAATTAATGGCTTCTTGGAAAAATACAAGTGGCAAAGCAGATTCAGAGGTCAGAGAGGCTGATGCCGTGTTTCTTTGGGTCACATTTTATTGTTACAGTGACGAAAGATGTAGCACAGCTCTCCTCTGGTTACACGTTGCGTGTAGTCAGGTTTGTTTTGTGCATACTGGCCAGTCAGATAAGGGTGAACTGGAGATTTTCTCCTTAATTTTGCATAACTAGTTTTGTCATTAGGATTGCTAATGAGCCGATATCCTTGCTTTCACCCGATTCAGCTGTCATTTGTGGTGTAAATTGTGGATATTTATTCCTTAGCTTGGCCGTTAGCTGCTGTGTTGTGTGCATCGTGCTGTACAAAAACTCTGATGTTGCCTTTGTTTTTCTGCCTTTTTGTCCTGGAGAACGAGCAGGAACAGCATAAATAAATAAATCTGTATTAGAATAGCACTCTGCTAGATGGCTGAATATTTTATCGGGGACTTATTTCCTGTGGATGACAGAAACCTTAGCTAACCTTACCTAATAAAGCAGCAAAAATTCAAATAATTGAATGCGTAAATGTCTGGAGATGCAAAATACTAGAGGCTCTGTAAATAAAAAGAGACCTAGAAGATCACAGTACACAGATGGTGTAGATATGGAGATTTACCACACAGGTAAATAGTGTTTCTACATGGCTGTCACTGCACTGGGCAGTAATAACTTTATCCTCTGGAATATCATCCTTGGATTTTCTTTCTCCAGGTGGCCAGTTTATCTGTGACAAACAATTAGCCTGTCTGCATGATTTATTGAAACAGGAATCAGCCCACAGGCTCGGATTTTTGTATTGTATCTACTGTGAGTTGTTAACAGTGATTTATGAGAGTGCTTACCTCCATCGATGGAAGACTCTCCGTCCCAGTCTCAGATATTAGATTTTTAGTCTATAGCAGTGCAGAATAAATGCAGAAGATTTACTTCAGAGGTCCCAAAAGTGTTTAAAAGCCTGTTTGTCAAATGTCAGCGCATGGCTAGATTTACCTGTAATTGGACGCTTTCTTTGTTGTGATTATGGTGGCGGTGCGGTGAGGTCAAAGAAACAGCGTTAAGGTGTATCAGATGCTTGTAAACATGAATGAAGCGGATTCAATCAGAAATGTCAAGGGATTTTTCCATGAAGTCATACACGTAAGCATGACTGCCCGATTCTCTCCCAGATCTCTTGTGTCAGTTGATTTTGATGGGATTTTGTAGGACGCAAGTTTCCATTTATTAACTCTGTATGTGTGTGTGTGTGTGTGTGTGTGTGTGTGTGCGTATGTGTGTGCCTTTTATTCATATTAACACCCATATGTGTGGGTGGAAATATGGATACAAATGTTACTTGTATGTCTGTGTGCATATGCATGTTTTCATGATCATTTATGCGCGTGCGTGTGTATATGTGTGTGTGCGTGTGCGTTTGCTTCATTTCCCTATCTATCTGCATGTGTTCCCATGCGTCCTGTGTTTTTTTTTCTAACAAAAAAAAAACACCAAACCCCACCAAAAGGGACTGCAGAACTCTGAAGAGAACGCCAGGATCTCCATCACCTTCTTCCGGCTGTTCCGCGTGATGAGGCTGGTGAAGCTGCTGTCTCGCGGGGAAGGGATTCGGACCCTGCTGTGGACCTTCATCAAATCCTTCCAAGTGAGGGGAGAACCGGACACAACATGCTAGAATAGGGGGGTTGGGTTTACACAGGGAGAAGTGGCTCTCTTTGTCCTTCCTTTCAGAGCTCTATTTGCTTTCACTTAAGTTCTGTTTTTTAAGAGATTTTACAAGACATTTTAATTTTAACCACACATTTAAAGTCTGTAAATTAAATTTAAAAATTATTTTCAGTTCTGAGATGCATGCAGCTATAAATGCCCTTGTTCTTGTGTAAATCCAGCCTGGTAGAGTCTCACAAGCTACCTTTCCTTGCCTCGCCTTGTCCCTCCTCATCCCCACCTCTTACTTGCGTAGAAGGTCAGGTAGATGCTATTTTAAAAAAAAAAAAAAAGAGGGATGGTGTGAGGTAATGGAGAGGATGTTTGGGAGTCTAACTACAGAAGCAGATTATGAAGTTTGAAAACAGGAAAAAAAATCCATACCTTAACGAGAAATCTTTTCTTCGTCTTTCCACTTCTCCTCTTTTCTTTCTTCTTCTTCTTCTTCTTCTTCTTCTTCTTCTTCTTCTATTTATTACCGTCAAACACCCTGCGCCCTACTACTAACCCCTGAGAGCTCACCATTCCCCGTAGGCGAGTTAAGCCGTAGACAAGTTTTGTTTAACGAAGCACTCCACCAAAAAAGTGAAATCATTTGATAGAGAATTGTGGGGACATTAAAATCATCTGTTCTCTCTCTTGCGTTAGCTGAGACGGGCCACTTCATGTTGTACTACTGCTACTGCTGCCTGTTTGAACCACAGGCTTAAAAATCAGCAGTGGTTGTGAATATCATTTTGAGCTATGCATTAATATTTTGTGCGCTTATAGAATTTATTTAATTTATGAGCAGGCTTTAACTTTTTCATTTATTCATCATGACTTGGCCCTGCCCTTCTATGCACAGGAGTAATATTAGCCAGGAGCACAGTCCTGCACTTTTGCTAATGCGTCTTAATATAGAAAAACAATGTTCTGCCCTTGTTTGGTGCATGTGCTGTATGTTGGGACTGATCTCCTGGCTAAGTCCAGAGAACAGATTGTATTTTGCTGAGGTTTTTCACTCTGAAGTCAGATGATTTGTCCTGGATTGTTTTTGGTGTTGTGCCACACAAGACTGCAGATCCATTCACTTTCACAAGTTTGAAAAAAAGAAAAAAGAAAAAGAAAAGAAAAAAATAGATTGTGACTTTGAAGATTAATTGGACGAGTGAGATTTGAATGAAAATGAATGGACTCCAGCTCTGGTGTAGGATAAGCCTGCAGAAAACTTGCCACTGATGCATCTCTCCTCTCTTCAGGCTCTGCCCTACGTAGCTCTGCTTATAGTGATGCTGTTCTTCATATACGCCGTCATTGGCATGCAGGTAAGCTGTCAGGTTGTTATCCCCTTGTTTCCCTCCCACTGTTATCTTCTCTCACCTTCTCTCCTTTAGCAAGCCTCCGTCCTGTGTCTGTCCCCCTGGAGTCTTGTCACTCAGAGTTCCTGTTTGGTCAAGTTGTTATTTTGCTCTCCCATTATCTTCCTCTCTCTGTTGCTCTTCAGTTACTGTTTGTCTTTGTCTCTCTGATTCCTCTTTGTTTCACCTGGAAGCTGTTGTATTGTTTGTTTCACTGACGATGAGTAGGAGACACTTTGGTTTGATTTGCTGGGGGATGTCTGGCCACTAAATGTGACCGACTTTCACTTGTCAATGCTGACATCATATGCTGTGTGCTGTGACTACACCCTCCCCTCCTATACAGATGTTTGGTAAGATAGCTCTGCGGGACCACATGCAAATCAACAGGAACAACAATTTCCAGACATTCCCTCAGGCGGTGCTGCTGCTCTTCAGGTAAGGGTGATTAATTTGGGCATTTGCTCTTTTTTACTCCATCATCGTCTTTGTTAGTCCACTTTTCTCCTAATCTGTATACTTTGTTTGTGTAACTGCTCTGGCATTAAAAACTGCCAAATCAAACATGCTAGTCTATATGGGAGCAGCCAAAAACAGCTTGATGTTGATTTACAACAAACGCCCTGAAGGTTTTCTTCCTCTTTTCGGCTTGGTTGTGATGATGGTAAGATTCCATGAAGGGGGACAAAAACCACAGAACCTGAAAGGATGGAATCACACATAATTTACTAGCATTACACCAAGTTTATTCTCCTCAAGTTCAAAAAATGTCTATCCTTTCTTATTCTGGATACACCCCTACATGGAATATATAATAGCACTGAGTCTCCATTAAGAATGACAGTATACTTGGACACTTGATAAGCAGAGGAACTCAAAACTGAATGGATAAAAATCATATATACATATATATATATAAGTGCTTATACATAGTCATATTTTATATGCTCAGATGTAATAAGAACAAAGTCTAACATCTGCGTCTCTCTCTTTTTGTCTTTGTAATAATGTGCATGTGTGTGCTTCACTCCATGCTTTTATGCGCGAATGCATACATGCGCACATGCATGCATTTCAATATGTGTGTATGTGTGCCTCTTTGTTTCTGTTGTGTGTCTTTCTCACAACCGCATGCACGCCGGCATTTGCGTCGGCGTCCATGCATATTTGGTTGGTTGTGTGCATGCGTCTGTCTATCAGATGTGCAACAGGTGAGGCGTGGCAGGAGATCATGCTGGCGTGTTCACCCAAACAGCCGTGTGAGAAAGGATCAACCAATGAAAGCAGCTCGTCCAACGAGGACTGTGGCAGCCAGTTTGCCATCATTTATTTTGTCAGCTTCTACATGCTCTGTGCCTTCCTGGTGAGTACAGGCACACATCTAATTTTAATTAGTAAAAGGAGAGTATTTCATGTGACTGTCATAACCACAAATAGCAAATTAACATATTTCAAAATGTGCCAGAAAGATGACTTTGAAATCGTGTGTTACATTTAATAGACTGTAGAGAAATGTAGTACATGTTGATTGAACTGGCAGGTCTATAATTGTTTAGAGTGGTACGATAGAAACTTATGGATTTCTGATTTTCCCCAGATCATCAACTTGTTTGTGGCCGTCATCATGGACAACTTTGACTACCTGACGCGTGACTGGTCAATCCTGGGGCCACATCATCTTGACGAGTTCAAGAGGATCTGGGCTGAATATGACCCCGAAGCTAAGTAAGTTTACAAAGCTATATTTGCCACTTTTCATCTGTTTCAAACATATATTCATGCATTTATTTTGGCTGTGTATTTTTACTGCTTATAGTTTAGTTGACAGGGAAGCTTTCTGCTCAAAACTGCTCAATTTATTTCTTTAATTAAATCCTAAGTTATGTTCAAGTAGTTGAAATAATCTGTCCGTGCATCCTGTTTCTACTGCAAAAACACTCCCTGGAGTACTCTCTATCCGTGGTTGAGAATCACTAGTGTAGAGCGTCTCTAAAATTCAACATCTATGCTGGTTTTTAGGGGGAGAATAAAACATCTTGATGTGGTGACTCTGCTCAGAAGAATCCAGCCTCCCCTCGGGTTTGGAAAGCTCTGTCCACACAGGGTGGCTTGCAAGGTAAACACACTTGCATGGCCACACAAATTCCTAAACAAGGCTGCAGAGTTATCAAAAATATATATAACAGCTCAAGTACCATCACTGCATGAGTTAAAAAAAAATCCTCATGTTGTGTTGTATTAGAGTGGTGACATATGCACAGCTAATAACGCCTTGCACAATGACTCAAAACACATACTGACAACAAATCGTACCTGGGAAAATATCTCAAAAAAATCTCTCTAACGAAAGATTAGCGTCCTTAGAGTTGAACTGCTGTCTGTGTATTTTTAACAAACTCTCAGCTGCCAGTATCTGTTGGCAGCTGTTAGGGCAATTCACTGTGTTAAAAAGGTGCCTGTGTTTTTCATCTCACGTAGCGTCTGGTGTCGATGAACATGCCTCTGAACAGCGACGGAACAGTGATGTTCAACGCCACACTGTTTGCCCTGGTCAGAACCGCACTCAGGATAAAGACAGAAGGTAAAAGACACGTATGGGGGCAATCACTAGCACACAACTGTAAAGGTCACACATGTACGCACCAGTGGGCACATCATCATACTTGATAGCACAATGTGAAATTGCGTGTTTTCTTATTTTGCCCCACTTTTTTTTAAACCTATTTTATAGAGGGGTTGTAATGTAATTTCCAACTATGGAAATTCTAGTTTGAATCTACAATGTGTACTTCATACTGTGCTTTGTGTGTGCAGGGAACTTGGAGCAGGCCAATGAGGAACTGAGGGCAATAGTGAAGAAGATATGGAAGAGAACCAGTATGAAGCTCTTGGATCAAGTAGTGCCCCCTGCTGGTGGTATGTACACCCTGCAGCACAGTTTCTTATGCACAAATATTTAAGAAGTGAATGTTTCCAATAGACCTTACTGTTACCTTACTGTGGTCAAAACCTTGGTTGCATCACTTGCAGTGGAGTTTCTGAAAAATCTTGCAGCATGTTAATTTTAAGCATTAATCTTTTTTAATAATGATGGTTTTTTTTGTTTCTGCAGATGACGAGGTAACAGTCGGGAAATTCTACGCCACCTTCCTCATCCAGGAATATTTCCGCAAGTTTAAGAAAAGGAAAGAACAAGGGCTGGTGGCCAAGGTGCCCCCCAAAACCGCACTCTCTCTGCAGGTATGCAGACAAGTTTTGTTCACAGTAGAGCTAAACATTACAGAGGTAGATTTCTGACATTCGAAATTTGCTCCTGGGTTACAACATGATATGTAAGCAACACTGCTGTGTCTGTGTGTAGGCGGGCCTGCGGACATTGCACGACATCGGTCCGGAGATTAGGAGAGCCATCTCCGGAGACCTAAATGTGGAGGAGGAGCTGGATAAAGGTGTAAAGGAGCCTGTGTCAGCGGCGTCAGAGGACGATATCTTCAGGGTAAAGGTTGGATACACACACCTTCACTCACTCTCCAGAGAGAGAGAAAAAGAAAGAGAGAGAGAGATGATCAACGCCAGCTTGAAGCCGTATTGCATCATGCACATAAACATGCATTCTTGCATGTGCTTAGTCAAGAAGACATAATAAAAAAAGCCTCATGTTCCACCACATAGCTTGGCTACAAAATGCTACACTCACTGAACTATATTTATGGATTTTGGGGGGATGTGTGGGGTCCAATGAAAATAAGTTTTTAATAAACACAGCAGTATTTTACACACTATAATCACTAAACAAATATTCAGCGCTGCAACTGTAAGGATTACACACTTACACATACACACAGCTCCTTCTACAGTAAGAGGGTGAGTTATGCTATCGACCTTTCATTTTCGCCACCATTATAACATTCATATGCTGTTTTGTTTAGTTTTTTTTGCTGCGGTATTTGCATTGTGTACCAAAAATAGACAGCCAAATGTCTGTGCCTAGCTAAAATGAAGGTTAATAGAAAATAAAACTCCAGTGTCCAGTTTATTTAATTTTATCAGTCTGCTTTCATTTACTAAAAATGTTCTGAAGTTTTTTGCCTTTTGATAAAAGCTTTTTGCTTTGCATTCCCATCATTGCTGCAAGCAGTGTTTTGAATTATGGATGTTGGTGTGTGTTGCTGTACATTATTAAGATATTCTTTAACTTAACCTTTCCATTTCTCTTCTCAACTTTTTGTGTTCCTCCATCTCAACCGTCTCCGCCCACACCACAGCGCACAGGAGGGTTGTTTGGCAACCATGTCAACTACTACAACCAGAGCGATGGCCGTGGGTCCTTCCCGCAGTCTTTCACTACCCAGCGTCCCTTGCACATCAGCCAAAAAGGGTCACCTTGTGAAGGCGAGAGCCCGTCTCATGAGAAGCTCATGGATTCAACTACTTTCACCCCTTCCTCTTACTCCTCATCAGACTCAAACGCCAACATCAACAATGCCAACAACACTGGCATGGCCGGGGTGGCAACCCAGGGCATCAGTCGATTCCCGAGCCCATCTATAAGCACTGTGGATGGGCACACGGGGCAGCCACTCACCCCCATTCTGCTGCCAAGATCTGCGTGGTGCTTTCCTCCAAAGAGGTGAGTGCAGGCTCAACAGCAGCTTCCATTTACACCTTGTTTTGAACTTTTCTGCTTCTTTCCTACTTTATGTGCTCCTTGATTGTGTTGTGAATAATTTGCTTTCCTCTTCCATAGCCCAGGCATTAGTACAAATATTTAACTGCCTTTTTTTAACATAATTAACAAAAAAGATGTCCATATAGACATAAATAATTCAGCTGTTTATTTCTTTTTACTACCTGCTTTCTTTCCCTGTCTTTTGTTTCTGGTGGCGAGCAGGACGTGTTTTTATGACAGCCTCATGCGGTATGTTGCCAGGGGACAGAGAGAGAGAGAAAGAGAGAGAGAGTGTGTGTGTGTCTGTAATCTCATAATGGCATATAAAATAACATAGCTGTCAGGGTGCTATAGTAACACTTGTTGCTATGCACACAGTGCTTTATTTTGCAATAGCAAAACGCAGGCTACATGCTGTTACTATAAAAATCAGCTACCAAAGCTGTAGATAGACTGTTTGGTTCAATGGAGCCAAACGTTTCCTATCAAGGCTTCTCTGAATGCTGTTTTTTTTTTTTTTTTTGGGGGGGGGGGGGTAATATGACAGATCTGGGTTAGACACTGTATAGAAACATACAAACATCTGAAAGCTTATACTTATTTGCTAATTTTAATGCAAATGTGGAAATGTGTGATCTACGCTCACTGCCACTTTAATAGGTACACTTTGCTAGTACCAGGTTGGACCCAGTTTTGTTTTCAAACTGCCTTTTGACACGATGGCGTCACGCAGCTGTTGTAGATATCTTGGCTGCACATCCATGATGTGAATCTTGCCTTTCATCACATCCTAAAGGTGCTCTACTGGACTGAGACCCTTTCTTGGATGTCTGCTGCTGTGATGGTTGGACTGAGATCTGGTGGCTTCGGAGGCCATTTGTGTGCATAGAACTCACTGTCAAGAAATTAGTTTGGGATTATGATGGACTGATTCTTATATAGCTGTATTTGAGTACTCAGTGTTTCATGCAACATTCTTCATTTACCAGTTCAGGCTCATTCATTAAAGACTTTTTTCTACACCAAAGTGCTTTCTGTTTAAGATTTACAGACATTATTACTCCAATGGATGCATCAGGAGCACATTGGGGTTCATTATCTTGCCCTTAGAATACTTGTATGAGATCTAGACTAGAGCAGCCAGTGATCAAACAACCAAACCTTCCTATTAGTAGATGACCTGCTCAACTGAGGTACAGCCACCCCAAATAATGTGCAGCCATCAGAAGGTGGGCACACTGTGGACATAAAGGGATGGACATAGTTAGCAGCAATACTCAGGCTGGCCGTAGTGTTAAAACGATGATCAGTTGGTGCAAAGCATCACTATCCACCTGTACTATTGATGCAGGTTGAATCCATCCTGTCATTTTTTTTAGGACAAATTCCGAGTCCACTATCTGATTGTCACAGCAGTATTTTTCAAAGATCATTTTTCATCATGAGCTTGAGCTTGTATAAAATGTCGCCTTATTTTCCTGTTTTTAGCTAACAGGAATGGCACTTTCTTTAGTCTTTTGCTGCTGTAGCACAAGGTTCAGTGTTGTTGCATTTAGAGATGCTGTACTGCTGCCTTCCTATCAGCTCGAAGCAGTCTGGCAATAACACTCTGATAGATATCTGCATTAATGAGCTCATAAACAGGTTTACCTGTCAAAGTGGCCGGTGACTGTATATTCATGAAATTTGGTTTATATGTTTTGAAAGTTGTGCTTTAATTGCTCCATGTCAAGTTAAAATATATTACCAAACTTTGCATTTATATTGATTTTAGTGGCTTAATTACTTTCGACTAGCATCCCTCTCTGAACGACTTCACATATTAAGTCACTGTATTTGTATGGCTTTAAAAACAGCAGTCAGTTAATATGTATATCATTGCCTTGATTTATTTTGCCCACTTGTTGGGATGTTGAGCCAGCTTTACACTTTAGTTACGATAACTGATTGTGTGTGCTGGCATGTATGTATGCAGTTTTTCCCATTCATTAGGCCTACTTGGACAGTAATGAATCTAAAATAATACACTTGAGTACAAGCAAAGCAAAGTATAAGCTTTCTGATGGACTGGATTTAATCAGTTCAGTAACAGGTTAAGATCCACCAAGGCTTAGCCAAAATCATCAAGTTAGGTCGTTGTTCTAACCCAGAGTTTGCCGTGGAACCGTTAGCTGATTAAAGGGACATCTGGCATTTTTAGTTTTTTTTGTTTGATTGTTTTTTTCCCACATGATTTGTTTTTCTTCACCACGCTGTTGTTTGGGGAGGTTTATGTGCTGCTTAACAAAAATTAAATTAAAAATTCTGGGACTTGAAACTGAAACTTGGCATCATATTACGCCTCTTAATTCGAAACTCCGGGAAACTGAAGTGCTGTTGCTTGGAAGTAAAAACACATCTGGTGAAGAAGAAGAGAATAAAAATTAAATGCCAGAATGTCTCCTTAAAGCTTGAGTATTGGGTATGAAATACAGTTGTGGTTAAAAGTTTACATACACTCATTGTAGGCATGAATGTTGTGGTCATTTGGAGCATTTAGTGATTAGTTTGAACTGTGTTTTTTTCCCCATGAGGAATAGTTTTACTGCATACATTTTTAATAATTTAAAAAAACTGAATTGCATGCACAAGTTTAAATTTATTTTGAATTGTCTCTAATCCACACAGGGTCAAAACTACACATACATGCTCAAGCATATAGATGCACCCCCTCTAATATTTGGTTAAATATCCTGTGGAAAGTTCCACCTGAACTAGATGATTTGGTAGCCCTCAACAAGCTTCCGGGATCATTCTGGCTGGATATTTGACTACTCTTAGCAGAACTGACAGAGTTCGTTTAAATTGGTTGGTTGAAGTTGAGTCTTTGGGAAGGCAGAAGCTTAATGGCAGCCTGCTTTATCCATTCTAAAACCTGCTGTCATCTGTTTTTGGGGTAATTTTTTGGATCATAGCTTCATCTTTACTTCACTTCACTGATGTCAAATGTCTCAGTCTTTGTTCCGTCTGAACATAAAACATTTCTCCAGAAGTCATTTGGCTTGTCCATGTGGGACTCAATATATACATGCGTTAACTTAAATATTTTAATAGGTGGTTCTGAAGGTTCTACGATCTCTTTTAACTTTGATGTTTCACTACTTTGCCAAAGAAACTACTGGAAGACGAGTGTTAGTATCCACAATGAAGCATTTTAAATCCCAGTGGGCTGAGAAAATGCCAACCAAGAAATGAGCCTCTGCTCCAGAACCGACACCTTTAAGCTCGACTGATATTTGCAGCTGCCCACATGGGTGAGCCAAATGGCTGGTCTAGGTGGAACTTGCCAAGGGAATTTTAATGGAAAATTGGTGGGGTGTATCTATATATTTGAGCCCATGGGTATACTTTTGAACCTGTGTGGATTAGAAAAAATCCAGAATAAATATAGATCTTGTTTTTAAACTTATTAAAGATGTATGCTGTACAATTATTCCACCCTGGAAAAAGAACATCCCCAAATTACCATGGCATTCATGCCCATGATGAATGTAAATAAACTTCTCACCGCAACTGTGGATGTGACTGGGAAGAAGACATCTTTGAGACGCAAAGAGAATTATAACCTCCTCGCACCAGACAAGCACAAGTATATTATAAATTGGATTTGAATCTTAGTCTCCTGAGGGAAAGTCTCGTACCTAACCCATCGTACCACAGATTCTGACTCGCTACATGGTCTTGCTAGCTCTTTACGCTACTTTTACAATTCACTCGGTCTGGTCTGAACATATTTGTGATTAGCCTGTCAGAGCCCAGAGAAGGTGCATGAGTCTAGTTTCCTATCAGACAACTGTATGAAAGGTTGCTGTGGAAATTTCCTTCTGTCCAGTGACGCCAAAAACGCCAGCTCCAGCTTTTTTCTCTGATAAGCAGTGATTCGCAGAAAGCAATAGCCTCAGATTCTGGGACTTTACTGACCTTCAAATGATGATAGCAGCATTAAAAAGTACTGTATTAAAATAGAGCTCCCTGAGAGCAACATTCCTTCAGAATATAGTCTCTTCTGTGTTTTTTAAAGATGTCTGAACTTCAGTCTTACTATCAATTGCTATAATCCAGGTGTTGCCTTTTATTGCTATTCACCATTTTGCTTCAAGAAAATAGCTGCAATATCCACCCGCTTCTTTTCAGACTCTCCTCCTCCTTTGCCTTCCTACATGCAGTAGCTAAGCATCCATGGGTTTCTCCTTTCAGTTTTATTGCAAATAATTTTTAGTGTATTTACATGTACTTGTCTGTCTTCCTGTTTTTCCGTGTGTCGTGCGTCTTTATGTTCATTCTGTGTTTTTGTTTGTTCGGCCGTTTGCTTGTTTGTCTGTAGCTCAGACTCGTGTGACAGTCATCTGCCAATCATCCGAAGAGGGGAGGGGTCAACAGAGGAGACATACGACGAGAGCTATGTTGAAGACAGGGTGTACCATGAGGATGACCACTCGCTCTCGTCTGACATGTAGCGTTTAAACACATATGCACTCAAAAACAGCAACGAAAAAAAAGCACATTTATTCCCCAAGCCTTTAATATTTCACAACTTTTTTTCTTTATTTTATGCACTTGTGTGCTCTTGTTAGGCTGGTGTATCACGATGAGACTTGTAAGCAGTTGACTCCCATGGAGGAAGCGGAGGAAGTCGACGACAGAAGAGGAGGAGGAGGGTGGCAGTCTCCCAGGAGGGTCTTCCTCTGTCCCACTTCTCTGGGTGAGAAGACCCACTTTTTAAAAAAATCTTGCGTATAAATTGCGCCTGCTGTCATTTACGCATCTTTACGTGCTGTGTTTTTGCATATTTGTGGCATTGATGTCAGGGCGGAGATCGTCCTTCCATCTGGAGTGTCTCCGGAGACAGTCGAGGCCAGACGTCTCTCAGAAGACGGCTGTACCTTTACATCTTGTACATCATCAGGTAGCCTCAGGACGCCTACATAATAGAGGCAAACACACAGAGTTACAGATGCACATAAAAAGATGTGCAAAGCAAACATAATCCTCCCGGCAGCTCCTCTCTAACTCTCTCCCTCTCCTCCTCCAGGCTCTGGCTGTAGCAGGGTTGAGTCCTCTGTTAAGACGGAGCCACTCACCGACCCTCTTCAGTCGGCTGTGCTCCACACCTCCAGCAAGTCCCACAGGTTAACCAAGAATTTCGAAGCACTTTCTGTCCTTGTCATATTAAATCAGTGAGAGAGTTCTAACTAATGTTTATACTTTCCTTAGCTCAATGCAGTGATGCCTCCTACCAGCGAGTTCCCTCTCTGAGGCTAGAGGGCTCCAACTCCCATGAAAAGCTCAATACCAGCTTGCCCTCTGTCAACTGTGGCCCATGGTAAGAAAATAAAGCTGCTCCAAAAACAGTTTAAGCACAAGTGACGTTTTTTAGGTTTAAAACAAATCACTTCCCCTCCTAGGTACAATGACAGTAATGGGAATAGCCCGGTGCCCAGTCCTAGTCCCACCCCTAGCATGCCAGCGTCCAGTCAAAGGGCACCGAGGCCGGTGTCGCTCACTGTACCGTCGCTGTTGGGGAAAGACTCCAGCTCGCTGTGTCACGGCAGCGCAGGCAGTCTAGTGGAGGCAGTGAGTATGAGTTATATGTAGCTGTATCTGTGTATAGGATCATGAAGGATATTCTCTACCTGTTATTTAGCATATATTCAACACCACACTGTAACACGTGACACATTAAACCTTTCTCCTCTCTGTCCATCCCTCTTTTAATCTTTTCCCTGTCAAGGTCCTAATATCAGAGGGCTTGGGTCATTTTGCTCAGGACCCCTCGTTCATTGAGGCGACCAAAGCGGAGCTGGCTGATGCCTGCGACATGACCATCGAGGAGATGGAGCACGCCGCCAACAACATTCTCAACGGCACCTCGCCCACAAACGCCACATCCAGCACCTCCTCCACCTCTCAGCACAGCCCTAACGGCAACGTCCTCCCCTTCCACACAACAGCAGCAGCAGCATCAACGCACAGGGACCGAGCGGTCGGCTTGAGTCCTAGTGAAGGTGGGGGAGAAGCTACAGGAAGCAGAGGCTCCATACACGGTCCCTCCTCTATAGAGGAGCGGCAGGAGCTGCTAGCCAGAGAGAGAGAACCAGAAGAAGAGGAGGAAGAAGAGGAGGCAGGAGGGAGGGAAGAGGGGCACTACAGAGGCTCGCTTGTGATCGGAGGAGCACGACAGAGGAACAGCGGGCTGTTGGAGGACGAGGATATGGAGTGTGTGACAAGCTTATAGGAGTCAAGTTAATGGGTTCGATCGACGAACTGGCCCCTCTGACATCATCAGAGACTGATGCTTGTCAGGTGCTGCTTACAGCACCGCGGCTGGCTCTGTCTGTCCCCACCCTTCACATACACACACACACATACAAACACACTCTGTCGCTCTGGAGAGTGGCGGCCAGTGATGCAACCTTAAACACTTGGTTATGACTCTGTTAGTCTATGAGTTAGTATATGGATGGATGTTTGCTGTAAAAGCGATATACTCTACGAGCGTGTGCTTACGCACGTTTGTCAGTGTGATCTAGGATTTTTTTTCTATCTGTGCGCGCATGTGCGTGTGTTCTCCACACGTGTCTGAGTGTGTCTCTAAAGTGCCTCACAGTTTTATCATGTCCTCAGAGTGTTAAGCGCAGAAAAGTAGACACAAGCAAAAAAGAAAAAGAAAAGAGACAAAGGGAAGTATGACTGAATGAAGGTAGACAAGAAACAACACAGCCAGGAAGTCCTTCCTATGGTTCTCCTGCAGATAACATAGTGTGTTTAATGTTTTCATTTCCTACGCCTACTTTGTGTTGTTGTTGTTGTTTGTCTGGCCGCCATGACACCAGGTAGGGGACAGCAGACCAGCTTTTGAAAGGGGTCAGTTTGGATTACAGTCTGACCACACCCACTTGAGGTCAAAGGTCAACTCCTCCTCTTTGGTTCACTGATGATGAAGCGCTGTATTGAGTAAAACAGGGATGAAAAAAAGCCCTGTTTGAAATCTCATTTCTCCTCCTCTTCCAAAGCTAAGGAACCATGGAGCACAGCCCTGCCAGCCTGGAGGTGGGATTGAGGTGACACACCACCTCCAGCCAATGGGGGGGAAGGATTTGAGGGATGGTCCAACAGCCCCAATAAGGCTGCAATAGGGATGGGGGGCCCAGGCAGAGGAAGACACTCTCTGGCCAACAGGAAACTAGCCAGCTCTTTTTATTTTTATTCCACCGCTGGTCAGGAAAACTCCAGCGAGAGACAAACTTGAATCGTCTGTCAACGTGATCTGGCTCCGCCTCCTCCACCGGGTTTCCTCGTTTGGCCACACCCACTCGCTGCCCCGAACAGGAGCACTGGGTGGCTAAGCAGAGACAGCGAGCCCCCCCTTTCTGCCTCATACCTCGCCGTTCCTCACTCCTTCCTCCCTCCTCTTTGGTTACTTCACCATCCCTCTCCCTCCATCGCTGAGTCTTTTTGCTTTGTCAGCCCTCGGGGAGGCGTGCGTTTGTCGAACGGGGCAACAAAGATGGCGGGGTGCGCGGGAGAACGGGAGTGAGCGATTGAAATGAAAAACAGACTCTGACGTCAATCAAAGACACTTCCTTCTCCAGGACCCTCCTCTTCCTCTCAGCGTGGAATCCTACTGGATTTGCTGCCACACACGATTTCTACAGACCACGCCCACTATGTATTTAACAGTTCAATATTGTGCAAAACTGGCTAGCCATGACTATTTTTGTTTTATATTCATGATGTTATTGGTTTAATTTATCCTTGATTTGTTTGCACAATCGGGGTGCTGGTCTTATAAATGTATTTTTGCTCGGTTTATTTTAGGAGAATTTTAAGAGGTTTTAAGTAACGAAGCAGGGCGTAGTGTTTGTGTGCGAGTGCATAACTATATTTGTGCGTGCGGATGTGTGTCTGCGTTTTAGTACAGGATGTATGAATGCGTGAGATAGAGTGTGTATCTTTAAAAAAAATTGGGGAGGGGGGGTCTTTCTCTCTATCAGTATGCACCTTTTACAGATTGTATCTATTTATTTATTTATTTTTTTCCCAGAAGAGAAAAAATGTGTGCGTGTGTGTGTGTGTGTGTGTGTTTGAGTGATTTACTTGTGTATTCTAAAAGCTGATTTTAAGCCTAGACAGTAAATTAAGGTAGCATTACAAGTATGGTCTTGTTTGTTTGTATGTACGTGAGGGTGTGTGTGGGTATGTGCGTGTATGTGTGATAATGGGCCTCTTTAACACAGGGTTACCATGGACAGGCATGCTTCCAAAGCTTTGTGATTTCATTAGCAAGATTTTTACTTTTTAGCCAAGCTGCAGACTCAGAAGCTGCTCTGTCTTCAACAACTAGTTTTTGCATAACTTTTCTTTATTTCCCCACTCAGAGGTACTTAACTGTAAGGTCTCCAGCAAGGTCAGAGTGAATTATAGATCTTTCAGGCATTGCAGTTTTTCCAGACGGTAAGAAGCCTTTTGGCAAGTTGCTGTTTTTCTTAATCATGGCGGTTGTTGCTCTGAATTTTAGAAGTCCCCTTATTCATAGCGGCACAGTGACAACTCGTAAAGGAACTCAGAGTGGGGGTGGTACCCCGCGTATCACACATTACACGACCATTTGAGTTTAAACTCCAAATTAACTTTTAGGGCTGGTGTACAGATGCTGCAAGACTTCTGAATCACACATCTTTATATGAGCACCGTATCATAAAATGTATTTTTTTATCAGGGATGGTTTCAGAGATAAAACCGACTTCCTGTTTGTGATATTTATGATTTACTGGTAAAGACAGTTTTGCTGAAAAAATTAGCATACAAGCAGGAAATTTTACTGATAATTATAAGACGATGATAATTGTTTGGTTAATGTGATAAATTATTAGATAGAAATCACAAAGCTTACATTTTGGATGGAAATTGTATCCTAAGCTACTTTTTTTCTTTATAAGTAGCCTGAAATTTTTTGATGGATCGTTCTCTTTTTTAACTCGATCCTTGGGTATAGTTTGAATACACTGAAAGTACGACCACTGCAAGGTATTTCATTCAAGCCTCAGCATTTTACACAGGGCACAGGTCTCACTTCGGTACTGTACCGTCTCCAAAAGCATTCCTGACATCAAAATCACCTCATTGGTACCAACTGCCACATGTATTATTATTATCATTATTATTATTTCTACAATTTAATAGTATTTAAAAGTGAAATCGATAAATATGCAGAACGTGTGCAGGTAAGAAATAAAAGGGGAACAGATTCATGAAATTCAGTCTTAAAAATTTCAGAATCAGAGAAACTTTATTAATCCAAGAGGGAAATTGAGTCCCAGAAGGACGAAGATGAAGCTTATTATCAGTTTTATTTTCCAAAAACTAAGCATCTTCCACCTACACTGTAAGACCCTTAAATACAGGTTGCCAATGGCCTAGCAGATGGATTCTCAAATAGGGAGAAATCTAATTGGTACACCAGGAGAATACCAAAAGTCACCAAACAGTGCATCTTTATGTTTTGGTTATGACATTAATGAGTCATTTTAAACCTAAATCACAAGTTTCTCTAGTTAATTCCAAGAAAAATTCGAATACACTGCAAAAGCCTTTGCCATTTCAAGTCATCAGCGATGTTGAACGACCACCTAGAGACACTCGTATGTCTTAACTTATGGCCATTCGTTTCTCTTTAATTTACCATTAAGGACTTACTGTCGAGCTCTAATTCCTTCATGTTAAGCAGAGCAGCTTTGTGGCAGGGAAGGGAGGTATGCATGGACACACTGCCATACACTGCGTCCTGTGCCAGTACCAGACTTCTGACATTATTATGCAAACTAAATGTGAATGTTGAGTATGTTCTAGTGGCAGTGATGATGTTGTTTTGTGGTTATGACACTGCAAACTCTGAAAAAGTCTGTTTTGTCAAAAGGAATTAACCCTCCTAACTTATGCCCCCCAAAAAATCATTTACCTTCATAAAAATACTGTCAACATTTCTTTGAAGTATTGTAAAAGCACCTCTTAAAAAATAATAATTTGCTGGCATAAGCTGACAGGACCGTTTGGTGGCTAGTTTTGCTATAAGCTGCAGATCTGGGTAAAGTCAAGAATGTTAATACCTGAAAAGTAGCACCAATCTTTGTTCAGTTCGTCAAGCTGAAGTTTAGTTAGCCCTGAGTTTAAAAGTCAATGGTTCTAGCTGTTTACTATGACTATGACTATTTTATCAGCTAGTATATCAACAGCCATGAATGTGGAAACCAGTAATGAGTGACAGTATTGGATAGGAACATTTCCACAAGATTGCATAACATATTATAAACAGTCCAGGACCATCTCCAGCTGATAAATAATGAATTAATGTACTTAGACTACATTCACTTTACTTTTGTGTTCCTTATAAATTTTAGCCTATAGATAAATACACAAAGCAACCCTGCAAATAAGAAGTACCACCCAGGCTTGGTGAGTGTGATTTCAGAATTAAGAGAGCTGTGGTGCCCCCGTGTGGAGTGGAGCAGCATTGCCATTTTTATGTCCCACATAGAATAGCACGAGACGTTGTGTTGCAGCATAACGGTATGAGTGGGTGTAATCCTGCAACCCACAAGATATGCAAAAACAATGCAATAACTATGACTTTATACAAGGATCCTGAAGTAAATATGTTTGTGAAAGTGAAGAAAAAAAACAACAACACAGTATCATGAAGCTGTATTATTTTCTGTTTGTTATGTTTTTAAGTCACCTTGGTGGTTTCCATGCCAGAAAACCTAACATACTTGAAATCCGGTACATTGCAGTGAGGTATAGTGCAGATTTATTTATTTTTAATTCTCGTCGCAGGGTGTAGGTCGAGCATGTTCTTTCTTGTTGTTGTTTTTTTTTTTGACGCAGTGACCTGAAGGTCAGTGTTTTCCTCGTGAATTAACAAGCAGTCAGTGGAGACGCAACAAAAGCGACTGACCATATTTCCCCAGGTTCCCACTTTCTGACTGTATTTTTTTTATGTTGCTTATTTCCCCTTTTTGTTTTTGTTTTTTTAAGAATTAAGCTTGTTGGGTGTAAACATTGCATGAGGTTCACGTGTTGACATTTGAGCGTTCCGGGTTTTGCAGTTGTTTTGTTTGATTCAGGTTAAATATGACTATTTAGTGTACACAAAATGATTAAAAGCAGTATTTCTTCTTCAGAACTGACTGGACAGCAGTTGAAGAGTCCACGGAAGGTGATTTTGCATATCTTGTGTCTAATGTGCTTTTAGTTTATTTTCCTGGTGCATAACCCTGAGGAGGACAGCGAGATGACATTTAAGAACAGATAAATGATAAAGTTTAATATTTTTTCTCTTGAATTCAGTAAATAAGTCTTTGTGTTGCCATATTACTTTTAAATTGATTACTGGGACAGACATTGATTTAAATCCAGGTTGAGGACAGATAGGCAGGAGTTACACAGCATATATTCAAATGTTTCTACTCTATAGGATGATATTCTAACATTTTTACTATTCAGTGCCAGTCACAAATAATTTACTAGGCTTTTATCATGCTGCAGGTCATATAAACACTCATCATTATGAGTAAAATTGCATTCTATATTGGTCAAATGTTTGTGTTTCAGCTCAAATGGAAAATAATCTTATACAAAACCTGCAAACAAATCTACTATAAAGACTGGTGTGTAGCTGTGCTGTAAACAGTCAGTGTGTAATATGATATTGGTACCAACCTGCAGTGAGGGCCCCTTTGAACAGAGCTGACTGATTATCAGGAAAAGCTCAGGTATAATCATTTGCTTTGATAGGGACC